CACAAAATCAACAAGTTTTTCCATCATTCAAACAATCAACCTTACTGAACTTCCCTTTTAAGTAATCTTCCGTAAATAAAGGATTCGAAAGTAGATAAAAACCACATATCTCAATATGCGAGTAAATCCAAATGAATAAGAATTTGACAGAAAACCGAAAATATTGTGTAAATTAAGAGAGTGTAGCTGGCACATGACTATTGTTCGGTGTAGCGTCAGAGTGCCAATCAACAACTGTGTCACAGTGCCAATCAAAACGAAATGAGCAAATCCAACCCGTTATATTCCATTCCAACAGATTCTGCAGATGACCGCTCCGGTCCTTTTCCATTCTCTTCCTTGACTGCATCCACCCTAGTAAATCCAGATAACTCCATTGCTCAATACACTCTTCATTATCATCCTCCCACATTTCCTGAAATATCGTTGAAAACGCAGACAAATTTATGTGTCGACATAATCAGTGAATAAAGTTCATATACTGCGTAAATGTGGAGGAATTGAGTGAATGAATAAACGATCCAACAAAAGATTCGAATTTATCGAAATATAAACTAAACTTCTTCAGAAGATCAATCCCCCAATCAATTCCTTAATTCCTTATACCTAGTTCTGCAATGTCACCTTAATGACCATTACGTCAGTCATTGCTCTCGTTTTATATCAGTCTTGCTTTCGTTCTATCTTATATGCGAGCAAAAATGATCCGCAAATATTACAAAATCACCATTCCAAAGCATTCATATACATACCGATTATCGTAATGCAGCATTCCAAAAAATGACAAAAAATTGATGATATCATAAAAGAAGAAACAGAAGATATAATCCTCTGTCAACCGATTGCATTGAATATCATGAAATATTGAGAACAACATTTTGTAGACAGTTTTATTAATGTTACACTAAAAAATATTAATAAAATATCCATAACATAAACGAGTAATGAAATCCAAAATATCCAAAGTAATCTAACGCTAAAAATGGCGAACTGTTAACTCAAAAACTCAAACACAAACCCAAAATCCCTTCAAAAAATAATAACGCAACATTAAATAACGACAAAAGAATAAGTAAAACAAACGTTAGAATTCTCAAAAAAACTGCAACAAAATGATTAATGAAATTTTGAATAACGATATTTTATGACTACAGGGGGACAGTACCGGGTGAGTGACTACTCCTAGAAAGTAGCCACGTACTGACCCCTGTAGAGGCTATTTCGTTGACATACATAAACATTAATAATAAATCATATGAAAAACATACAAAAATAATCAAATAATCATTAAATATCTCTTATGTTAAGAGATATTCTATCAAAATAAATACCACATTACCCCTATCAAGCGGGGTTCAATTTTGAATACGTAAAGAAAAATTGAATGAAAATAAAAGATAATGTCGGGTGAATGCTAACGTGTCTAGGACACGCTAGCACACATTATCTTTTATTTTTAAAATATTTATGAATAAAATAAAAAGTTTTAAATTAGTAACAAATATTAGTAAACTTAATAAAACGATAAACTATCAAACATCCGCTACCGAGGCGAATAATAAAAACAATTTAAAAAACCCTTAAAAACACTCAACATATTGAACATAAACACAATATAAACATATGAAACATAAAATAAATTCAACATGAAAATAAACAAAATGAGTATTTCACAAAATACTTCTCAGTTGGCCGGCACAACTGTCCCACCCGCCACCCTCCAGCCAGCCCTCCAGCAATTGCAATACGCAGTAATTTAACTGCGTACAATAACACACAACGGCTATGCAATATACCATACAAAATATTATAAAACATCACAAACACTGGCAATTTGTTCATTAAAATAAAAACAAAAACATAATCACATACATTCAAAACATCAATAATATATTCAAAAATGTTCAAAACAAAAATAATATATTCAAAACATCAATAAAAACACATACATTCAAAAAATCAATGAACACACAAATAAAGTATCAATACAATGAATACATTCTAAGGGTAGTTACTCACCCGATACTACCCCCTACAGTCATACAAAAACATACCAAAAACAAAAACAATAATCTCCCTAGGCCTAGGTTGACACACAAAAAAATTAACTGAAAATAAACACAAAAATAAACTGAAAAATTCATACGCAAAAAACATTAACTCAAAAAACACAAATAACAACTGCGCACAAACCAAAAAATAATTGCGCAGTATAAACTTTATCATTATAATGACAAAATAAAAACACAAAAAACATTCAAAAAGTACAAAATCGATGGCAAAAACAATTTTTTGATGTGATGACGACGATGAAAAAAAACAATAATGAATAAAAATTTTTCAAAACCACCAAATAATGAAATAAAAAATCATAGCAAAATCATTTTTTCACTCAAAAAACATCCTCAAAAAATGCATAAAAATAACAACAACAATGAAAACAACTTCACAATTATACGTAAAAAGACCACTAATCCAATAAAGGGTCGCTTGTGACCCACACGATAACCGCCGCGTGTGGCCGATTCCATAATTGATAATAATGATAATAAATATGATTGTGGCCGCTTGTGGCCAATCCGATAATTGAAAATAATAATAAATGTAATTTTGGCCGCTTGTGGCCTCTGCATTGCTGTGCCCATTGAACTGGGCTCNGGGTAATTTTCTGTAAAATGAAAGCATTGAAATTATACAAATCATTATCATTTCTCAATAAATCACCGGAGGCATTCCCTCGAAGTTCCATGTAAAGTCAGAATAAAATAAAACAAAAAATGGAATCAAAATGAATAATCAAAATGTTTACCTATATCCAAGAGGGCACATGCCTAGTCCCTCCACCGATCGGCTTTTGATTGAACGCCCACGGAGCATGATATGAAGGATCCCTACCCAAAATTGGACAAATAATAAAAAAAACATCGTGCCGTCGGTAAAACCATCACGTCCAAGCGCGTCACTCATTTGACGCGACATTAATAATTCTTCGTCCGGCAGTTCCATATCCGATAGGGTGTGCCATAGCATCACCCTTTTTCAAATAACCAATCTGAAAAGGAATTTGAATTATAAATTATCAGACATTCATAACAGTCATAATGACGAGGCTTTTGCTAAGGCTCACCCTTGGCCTCTCATTTTCCTCATCTCCAGTGTCATCATCGCAAGTTAAGGTGCCATAAGAATTGAATAGAAATCAAGAAAATTTTAAGGGAAATTTGGAACAAACCACTAACATCAAATTGATGATACTGTCATACCATCGCTATTGACATTGGCCATTTAAGGCCTTTGCATCACATGCGGTCCTGAGGACCTTCAATGGCATTAAAGGCCATGGTCCGGCTTTGGGGCAGGTTAATCGCCCAAGTTTATCTGGAATAAAACGTGATCACTAGTCAATCGTTAAAACTGATAATGCAAGCAATCGTAATAGTCGCATTAACGCATCACTTCTGATCAATCGAATAATCACAACAATCGCGATAAACGACATAAAACGACGACGGCTATCAGGAGCTGTTCATCGAGCCACTGATAACATGAAATTATATCAAGCGTATCTAGCAAACGAGTGCGAACGAAAACGGAAATAATCAGATTGTCTCGATCCTCCAACGCAAAATCGAAACGGCAATGTAACCTCGTGAAAAATGGCACAATCAATCGTATGCTAACGACAAATCCTCAACATACGGAGCAATAAAATCATCGTAAGGAATATGAAGATTGACAAATTCCATCAAATAACTCCGAGTAATAAAAATAAAAGCGATTCTCGTTCACTGAATCTGATAAATTCATCCGATTACTTAGAAATAAGCACCAATCCTGATATTATGAAACAAATGAAAAACAGCGTGCACTAATTGATCGTAGAAGCGATTTGCAGGTCTTTGAAATACCGAAATGGTACAAATTTTGTACCTGAATAGCACTTTGGCTGAAAGCATTTAAGATTTTTAGTTATGAGAAGATTAATTTGCCATCAAATCGACAATTCTGCCCGTTATCGTGCATATATCTGGCTTGATAAAGTGAATCGCTCAGAGATATTCATGATGCATGTCATACAATTGATATCACCACGGATATTACCATTGCTATTATCTATTATCATATTCATCGTTACATTATTTGGATGAATACATTATTATTTTTATACACTCGTTTCATTGCTCGATGTGCTGTCACGATGCCAATCAAGAAGTGTGTGAAAGTGACTGTCCTACGTGCCAATCAATACATTGCTCTCGATAGTTTATCAGTGAAGTGTATCAAAAGTGACCGCCCACTATGACGGTCAATGAATGTACTCTTGATCGCTTTACATGCCAATCAACGCACTAAATGCGGCAACTTAATTGAGCAGTTACAGGCATGTGCTGAGGTGGTTAGATTGTTGCAAATATCACGATTAACTGCGAGATACAGCAATAAAAACAATACTTCTGGTTTAGTAGTTACCCAACTAATCTTGCCCGTTAATTTATGTTGAAATACTATTGACCAGTGATAATCTAAAGCCCAAAATGATCACTTTTTAATGATTCAGCGATATGATGCAAAACCAACGATACTATTTATGATCACAGTGGTGAGAATTTCTATGAGATGCTGAATAGCAATAAGCGGAAACAATGGTTGCATCAAACTGTCCTTTACTAGTGTCATCTTGTAATAAAGAATCAGCTTAATTCTCAGCAATCTCAAATCTAATCTGTTGATATCTATGAGACTAAACTCCTCTTAAACATGACTGAAACCAGCAGATGTATTGTTTGTACGAGTAATTGTTCATTTCCTCGCAAGTTTCAAATCATTCTACAACAAACAGTCAATATTCGTTTATTCATCAAATGAACAAAACAACAGAGGAACACAACAAAAGTTCAGATAAAAAGAACAATTCAAAGTAAATCGATTCAAATCAACCTTAAAATTATAAAAGAAAATCTGAAAGGATGATGTATATGTTTTGGTGGATGTGTTCATGAGACAGTGAACAATCTGCTTTATTTATATCAGTCGTCGGTTTATTTTGAATATGGAAGCATGCACCTGTGTACAAAGTCACAAACGAATGGTTTGCCCCGTACACGTTCCTCGATGAACTAGCGGTGTTTCTGTTGCAACTAAAATTCGTGTTGTGTTGTAGCTGAAAGAAAAGTTTCCAAGTTCAGCAGTCAAGGAACACGATAAAGACGGGAACCGGAGAGCAGAGAACAACGGAAAGCTTTGATATTGTAGGTTGGGTGCATGAGAATAGAACAAAATGGAAGGTCTAGAGACATTCGAGAACGGAATAGTGTAGAAATTTTCGGTTTCTGGATTTGTGTTAAAAATTCGAAGAATGAGATGCAGAAAGGAAACTGAAAAAAAACAGTTGAAGTGTGGTTCAGAGCATGATGCAGCACAATGCGAAAAATACATTTTGAAAAAATATTTATCATCATTCATTCCAGTGCACAATGGGTCAATACTGTCCAGTATGGATTCATTTCAGTTCCAGTTATTATAGTAGTGATTTTATGATTTTACCCGTGATTTCAATGATTTCACCGACTTAATTTACAAACGCAGTTGCTCTGTATGCTACTGATTCCTCTGCAGTGCTTTAAACGTATTCCTCTGCAGTGCTTTAAACGTATTCCTCTGCAGTGCTGTGTAAACGTATTTTTGTGAAAATGCGAAGACTCTGGAGCTCTTTCCTTGAATCTACTGACTTTACAGAAACGCTGTTGTGAACACTTCTTATTGTGCTCTAACCACACTGCACATTCAACTGCGAATGTGTACAAATGATGTGCCATTTTGTTTTTAAATGCAAAATAAAGGGTAATCCCCCTCCCCTCCTGTCCCCCGTGATTGTAAGTTATGTTCAGTAATGGAATTTTATAGTATGGCTTAAGTTCTGTGGCGAGATGTTGGCAGAAGGCTTTAACATTAATAAGCTGCAATAGTTTTCGTGGAGTTCGTAATGCTTGTACCCTCCCAGTGATTGCATTGAATGATGAAATATTACCCACTATATGGAAATCGCTGTTATCGGGAGGAAAGCTATGTAAAGTGATGATGCTGCACAATAGCACTTCAGTTGGTGGTAATCAACTGCTAATATCTGATTGTGGCGTGGCATGTTCATATTTTGCGAACATTTCGAAATTTGTACACGTTTATGAAACGATCGTTTTAGTCAAATCGAATGCTCGATGTTCCTTCAAGACCACAGAGGCCGGGCGAGCAAAAATTCATATTCTTAGGCTGTTCAAAATTCTGTTTGTTTGTTTGTTTGTTTGTCTTTTTTTGAAAGTTTCCTCGGGGCAAACTTCTGGGTAGTAATCGTAGAGATCTGTTTCCCGAAGTAGCAAGGGTATGCTCAGATGAAAATCTTTTTGTGTGATCGTTCTGTTTCTTTCACTTTTGTAATGAATTGCGTACCAATCATTTTATAATTTTGTCATCGGTCGTGTTTCGCGGTGTTGGAATGGTACTTCGGAATGTGAATTCAAGTAGATTTCAAGCGCATAATTGCATAATTGCTCATAATTGACAATCTTTATTTAAGAGTGCTTGGTATACGCATATAATTGCGTTGAACTGAGTCAGTGCAAAATGGCGGATTGTGAAAAAGCGGTCGAATCAGGAGGTGCTGAAGGCGAGGAGAAGAAACTCTCAAAGAAAGAGCTGAACAAGCTCGCTAGACAACAGAAGAAGGCAGAGAAGAAGCATGAGGTATCGCTTGAAATATTTTCGTCTCATCTTGGTTAATTGAGCCGGCTACAAGAAAATACCGTCGAAATAAATGTTCTTGATGTTGTTCATAAATGTTTCTACTTTAATGATGAACTATTTTTTGAGCATCTAATTATGTTATGTGAATGTTTCTAATGTTTCACTGGAACCACAATTGGCCATATTCTAGAGTGCAAGCTCAAATGCTAAAGAAAATGAAGCGGGTGATGTGGGCGAACAGGACGTATCGAAAGGCTTGTATGGCACGTATCCACTGATGCAGTCTGCTGAAAAGAAACACCTCGATTTTGTTGATGTCAAAGACGTGACTGCCGAGAAAGTTGATAAAGAGGTAATGATAATATTCAGTGTTATAATTAACATTTCTAGCTGCGTAAATACCATGCATTCATTTACAACAATCATTTCTGGATATCTGATTAATGTTGACGAATTTATAAACTTCAGTGTGCGCTTCAGGGATTTCGAAGATACTTCTGCTGTCATTAGAAATACGTGCATCTAATTTGAATTCGTATACCATGAATTTTCCTGTATAGAATCAATTATAAAAAATTTTCTTTCCGTGACTTCGGTCCATTTGCAACAATTTAAGAACTCTTCTGTTCAACATGCAGCATTTTGTTGGATGCTGTGTTCATTTGGCTTATTAAAGCCAATTTGGATGAGAGTGATTTGATTTATGCAAATTTGGTGTCAGAAGTTCAGAAATTGGTATTTTAGGTGTGGATCCGTGGACGTTTGCATACATCACGTAGTAAGGGTAAAACGTGCTTTGTTGTGGTACGTCAGCGCGTACATAGCATTCAAGCGATGCTCTTTGTTGGGGATAAAATTAGCAAACAAATGCTCAAATTTGTATCGAATATACCGAAGGTAAATTTAAAATTTCGAGAAAGAAAAATTAATTGATAATAAATGAAATGTTCCGTACTTCAGTCATCGTGAGTTGAGAATGAATTCCATAATTTGCAATTCATCTGATCATATAACGAAGTAGTATGAATGATTGACATAATACTATTCAAGGAATCGATAATCGATGTGCTTGGAACAGTTCGTAAAGTAGATCAAGAGATCACAAGCTGTACCCAAAAAGATGTGGAACTGCATGTGCTTCAAGTGCATGTTGTTAGTACGGCTGAGCCAGTGCTTCCACTCCAAATCGAAGACGCCTCACGTGCTAAAGATGATGAATCTGGTCTTTCGGTTGTCAACCTTGATACCAGACTTGATAACAGGTACCTGTTTTCAAGCACTTGACTCAGTCCTGTTTGTACGATGTTCAGAGTAGTAGGACACTGGAATTGAGTTTAATTATTCATTATTCGAAGTCAATGATATTCATCAGAAGAAGTGTCAGCATACTGGAAACTCATGTTGAAATATAATACGATGACATTGTATGCTTGAGCATTTATTCGCTCAATGTGAACGCGGTTTTCTAATGAACATAAACATTGCAGAGTGCTCGATCTGCGTACCGTGACCAGTCAAGCTATATTCCGTCTGCAAGATGGTGTTTGTGAGTTGTTCAGAAATACGCTCAAAAAGCGCGGATTCACCGAGATTCACACTCCGAAGATCATCTCTGCAGCGAGTGAAGGTGGAGCGAACGTTTTTGAGGTGCTGATTACATTTATTGCGTCAGAAATACGCTTCATTCATCATATTTGTCCGTGAGCATCTGCATTCAACTGTATCACATAGTATCTTTTCGTATTGCAGGTATCATACTTCAAAGGATCAGCGTATTTGGCACAGTCACCTCAACTCTACAAGCAAATGGCTATCGCAGCTGACTTCGACAAGGTGCTTCGTTTTGCTCTGGTTTCTTTACCATCGTCCGCTCTTCTCACATTTTTTGGATCTTTCTGAAGCGAATCAAAAAATTTTCAGTGTGTTTTGTCGTCGACTGTTCGAAATGATGATGAATGATTATTTTTATTTACCGTCTTGCATTTCAAATGTTATTCCGTTGTATTCGTTGAATATGCATTGGTTTACTTCCTCAGGTATACACAGTGGGAGCAGTGTTTCGTGCAGAAGACAGCAATACTCATCGTCATCTCACTGAATTTGTTGGTCTCGATCTTGAGGTCGCATTCAAGTTCCATTATCACGAGGTTGCACTTCGTTTCATCTCTGTTTGAATTTTGCTTAATTTTTGGTCACCTATTAAAAGAGAATTTATTTGATCCTAAATTATGCAGATAGACGGATGTCAGGCTTATGTAAATAACTTAATAGACTCATATGACATGTACCTCATTCTGCAAAGGCGGATTGCTGAGGGCGATATCGGATGATCGAGCTGGAAATCATCAGATGGGTCTGATTTTTCTAAGAGTTATTACGGATTGATGTGAATTTTATCTGTGAGGTTAGGAATGAATGAATGTTACTTCAAATGACGATCTGGNAAGAGTTATTACGGATTGATGTGAATTTTATCTGTGAGGTTAGGAATGAATGAATGTTACTTCAAATGACGATCTGGTAAAAAGTTGAGACAGTATTCAGTCTTTACGTTATATGTTTTAAGGTTGTTGAGACGATAGGTTCAGTAATGAATGATATCTTCAAAGGACTTCAAGCAAACTATGCACATGAAATTGAAATGGTCGGTAAACAGTATCCTTGTGAACCGTTCGAATTTGTTGAACCAGCTCTTGTCCTGAAGTGAGTTGGTTTCGTTTTTCCAGATTTTGTAGGAATGTTTTGAGTGAGGGGTATTGCCGTCCAGAGCTGATTAATATGGCTGCATAAAATTCAGATATCCCGATGCGGTAAAGCTGTTACGTGAGCATGATGTTGAGATCGGTGATGAAGACGATCTGAGCACACCGGTCGAGAAGTTTCTCGGTAAGTTGGTGAAGGAGAAGTATCATACGGACTTCTATATCCTCGACAAATATCCGCTATCAGTTCGACCGTTCTACACGATGCCCGATCCAAAAGATAATCGATATTCGAATAGTTACGACATGTTCATGAGAGGTGATTCATTGTTTTCCATTAAACCATCATATTTTGGAGGTACGAAATCATTTGAAGACCGAAATCACATGATTTTATCCCATCATTCAGTTATCCGAATGCGTTCCAGTTTCACGATGTTGTGATAGTTTAATGAGTATGTCTTTGATTTTAGGTGAAGAAATCTTGTCGGGTGCCCAGCGAATTCACGATCCAGACTTGTTGATTGAACGTGCAAAACATCACAAGATAGATCTTGAGAAGATTCGTTCATATGTGGATGCGTTCCGTTACGGATGTCCTCCGCACGCTGGCGGTGGAATTGGTCAGTTCGTTTTTAGTTGACTGATTCATCAGTTCATTCATAAGGTTCATCTCGTAATATCACTGAATCGAACAATTCATAAGGGTCATTGTGTGTCGATGAATCAGTTCATATGTTTGATTAACGTCTGTGTGTTTCGGACTTCTTTTCAAAA